AGTCTTCCTGCTTTTACTCTTGCCTCCCGTTGACTATTCTCAAAGTAGTAGAGAGAATGAGTCTTTCAAACAATGTCAGATCGTTATCAGTTGTCTTCTCAAAACTCTGTAGTGGCTGTCATTTCATTAAGAGTAAAAGCCAAAGTCCTATAATGGCTTAAAGGCATTATGTGGTCAACCCTCTTTATTTTTCCAATAGCATCTTCTATTAGTTTTACTCTTTGTTCACTTACTCATGACAACCTTGGCCTCCTTGTATATGCCAGATATATTACTCCCTTGATCTGGAACTCTCTTCCATCATGACTCTACTCAAATGCCGTCTTCTGATTAAGGACTACCCTTCTCCCCTATTTAATATTGGAGCCCCCTCCTTCACTCCATGTCCCCAGGATACCCCATCTCCCTTCCTTGCTCTATTCTTTCCCCCCATCTATGGTATATTGTATCATCCAAAGATTGAATTTTCCAATACTTCCAAGTTCTGCATTCTCTCTTAGAATCTTGCAACAGCTCCTCCATCCATCCTTGGAGAGAGAGAGAGAGAGAGAGAGAGAGAGACTACTTCCCCTTCCCTAGAACATATACAGTTATTACTTGCTTATAATCAATAGCATGTTGTAGTAGTGATGCTGTGATGTCCAAGTCTAGGTCACTTACTTTCTACCTTGTTAGCTATGAAGCTCACCTTTGGATCTATGAGCTGCCATGTAAGAAGTCCACTATCCTGAGGCAACCACGGTGTGAGGAAGCCCAGTCCACCTGAAGAGGCCATGTGTAGGTATTCTAGCTGACAATCCCAGCTGAGATCCATGCTAGCAGTTTGCATCTATCACTAGACATGAAGTGAAGACTCTTGCAGATGCTTCCAGTCCCCCAGCCTTAGAGCCTTCCAAGTCCAGGCTTCAGACATCATGAAGCAGACACAACTATCCCCCCTGTGCCCTGTCCAAATTCCTGATTCACAGAATCAGTGGGCACAATCAATTAGTTGTTTTATGTCACTCAGATTTAGGGTAGTTTATTACATAGTAAACAGTATTTGTCACTAGCACATGGCATTATTTACTAACATATCCCATTAAGTGACTGTGAAATAACTTAGTTTTAAGTCTACTGCTATTTCCTGTTTCCCCCGGTAGAACACAAGCTTCGTGAGGGCATGGATCTTTGTCTGTTTTGTTCACTGTCGTATCTAAAATATCTGGACCAGTCCTTGGGAATAGTAAATACTCAGTAAAAATTTAATGAATAAATTTGTGATTGTACAAGTGAACTGAATTTTAGAAGACACAGCTTCCTTATTGCCGAGAGGTCCCTTCTATGTCAACTTGTCAAACCCACTCGTTGGTAAGAAAAACCAACAACACACTGAGCAATGTAGGGGAGTGACAGGCAGGAAACAGAGCGCATGGCGTGATGTTTGAAAGTGGGATTGAGACCCAGGCATCTTGTCTTATAGAACACAGTCTTCAAGCAGTGCTGTGACTCCTGCGCAGCATGTAGACTCCAGGCATCACAGGGGCCTGATGATCAAAGCCGTACCCAGCGACAGTCTAGGAGAGGGAACTGGCACACTGTGGAAAGACTCCCATTAAGTAATGTTTTTCAATTAACCTCCAGCTAATTGAAAAGTGCTGTTAACTAGAAGCTAAGCATTCCAGCTAACTGGTTAATATAATTTGGAACTAATTGAGGTCAAGGCTAGTCTAGTTAGTGATATTTCCAAATGATGGAACAACATGTATTATTTTCTTTTTCATTATAAAGGCAGTTTACTTCCATGCCAGAAAGTTAGGGAAAAACAAATGCACAAACAAACAGACATTGTATCAGTGTTAAATTGCCTCACTTTTATCACTGTGTTATGGTTATGGAAGAGTGCTGTCATCTGAATATTTGTCTGTGAGGTGTGTCCCCCAGAGTCAGGCATTGAAACTTAATCCACAATGTGATGGTATTAGGAGGGGAGGTCTTTGGGAGGTGCATAGGTCATGAGGGTGGAGCCCTCACCCCCTTCCACCATGTGAGGACACAGTGAGAAGATGGGCATCTATGAACCAGAAAGTGGGCTCCCACCAGACACTGAACCTGCTGACACCTTGATCTTGACTTCCCTGCCTCTAGAACCCGTGAGAAATATTTTCTGTTGTTTATTTAAAAACTAGAGGCCCTGTGCATGGATTCGTGCACTGGTGGGATCCCTCGACCTGGCCTGTGCCCTCTGGCAATCCGGGACCCCTCGGGGGATGTTGGACTGCTGGTTTCAGCCCGATCCCTGCAGGCCAGGCCGAGGAACCCCCACTGGTGCACGAATCTGTGCACCGGGCCTCTAGTATGCATATAAGATCTTTGGTTAATCTCTTCCCGCCCTCCCCCTCCCCACTTCCCTCTGAGATTCATTAGTTTGTTCCATGTTTCCATGCCTGTGCATTGAGCGTCTGCCCCCTGGTGGTCAGTGTGTGTCATAGCTACCAGTTAAACAGTCAAATGATTACTTAGGCTTTTACATATATAGATGTTTAAAAAGTGCAAAAAGGCAAAAAAAATTTTTTTTGACATCAACCACACAGGGATGGACACTTTTAAAAGAGATATCAATCTGGAAGGCAATGCACCAAAGTAGTCAAGTGTTTTCATTTTCAAACTTTAGATCCCAAGTTCTTACAACCGTTTTTCTCAGGCTTTGACTACTTGTCACCCTTTCTGATGTCACATTGCTCCGCTGGTGTTATTTGAAACTTTAAAGCAAAGTACATATTATGACTAACATAGTAAACTACCATGATATTGAATATGCCTTTGCAAACAACACACCCTCTCCCAAACATTCACTCAACAAACGGATCTATGTCATTGAGCGTCTGCACACAGACACACACACAGACACACACACACACACACACACACCATCCCTCATTCTTTAAGGCAGTGGTTCTCAACCTTCCTAATGCCATGACCCTTTAATACAGTTCCTCATGTTGTGGTGACCCCAACCATAAAATTATTTTCGTTGCTACTTCATAACTGTAATTTTGCAACTGTTATGAATCATAATGTAAATATCTGATATGCAGGATGTATTTTCATTGTTACAAATTGAACATAATTAAAGGATAGTGATTAATCACAAAACGATATGTAATTATATATGTGTTTTCCGATGGTCTTAGGCGACCCCTGCGAAAGGGTCATTCGACCCCCAAAGGGGTCTCGACCCACAGGTTGAGAACTGCTGCTTCAAGGGCTTGGGACCATTCAGCCAACCCGCTAGGAGGTAAGGCCCAGGCATGGGAGGTAATGAGACAACCTTCTTTAACTCTGATCCTGACATCCTCCAAAAATATGCAGGCAGCATATGAAAAGTGCTGTTTTCCTTTGACCACATTTGCAATGAACTGCCGGTTCTCCTGAGCGGGTCAGTAATCACTCATGTGCATCGATACAAACGTGTCTGCTCTCATAAATGTGTCAAACATGCCCCTTGCCACCACATTTTACACTCTCATAAAGGTTTAGGACCAGACAGGCCGTTAGAAGTCACCTTATCCAAACTTCTCACTCCACCAACAAAGGAATTTTAATGCTCAGGTGACAAGATGAGATGCTAAGATCACACAGTGTGTTGCGTTGGAGCCCAGCTGTCTGGCCCCCCTCGGAGCACAGTTTCATGACCTCACAGAGCTTCTGCAATCATTGCTTGGTAAGCTCCTTCTCAGAATATAGTCTGAGAGAGAAACTTAGTCTGTATGATCCAGAATTCCAACTGGGTAGAGTCTGAGTCCATGCCTTCTCACTGTACACATGAAACTGAACCGAGTATAATGGGGGAACACGCTGAGTGTGGAAAAAGAGCCACAAAAAACCAGCTCATATAACTCAGAGCCTAGCACACAGTAGGTGCTCCCTAGATATTTTGGGAAGGAGGAGAGGGAGAGAGGAAAGGAAAAGTGAAAAAAGGAAATTTCCAAAGCTGGCTGCAACTGCATTCCGATTTGGGGGTGGAGGGTTGCGGGGCTCCTCTGGGAGAGTGAGGTGCTCTTTAGTTCAGGAAAACATCTTAATGAGTTTCCCTTCAAGTTTACTTCACTTTTTTTATTTGTAAAAGGGGTCGCCTAATAGGCAAGGTTTGAAACAAAAGGAGTGAGACAAAGAAAGAGAAATTGTTCTGCCTCAGAAAGGAAAGGGTGTGTGGAAGCCTTTTCCTGGCTGCTGGGAGAAGGGAAAAAAGGGAGTTTTGAGGACACTAAAAAGAACTTTTGGGAAAGGCAGTGGGTGTAGAGACCTGTGAGGAGATGAGAACCGTAGGACCGCTTGTATTCAGGCACTTCCTGTGCTTTGCTCCAAGCCACCACCCTTGGCCCCATTACTACCCAAACCTCAGTAGCAACTGCTACTCATAAAACCCTAGGGTTAGAGATGCTTTGGGAGAAAGGAAAGGGGTGTCCGATGCAGAGGTGAGGAGAAGGGACAGAGAGGGGACAGAGGCACTGGAGATGAGGCACTGACTTGGGGGCACTGAGAACACAGCAGGAGTGTGGGAATGTGGCAAGAAGTGCCCAGGAACAAGCCAGCCTCCCAGATGCACTGGCAGGGAGACCTGCTGGCTTCCCACAACATGTGGGCTGGGGGCTGGAGCCATTGGAGGTGCACACTGAGCAAAGCTGTGACTCCAAAGTGCAGAAAATTTGGAGATACCTGAACAATGAAAGGAAAGAGAGAGAGAGAGAGAGAGAGAGAGAGAAAGGGAGGGGAGAAAGGAGGTTTAAGGGTCTTTGATGGTGCTTCTCAAATATAAAGGGTATACAAGTCTCTTAAGTTCTGTTAAAATGCGGGTAAGTGATTCAGTAAGTCTGGGTGGGGCCGGAGATGGTGCGTTTCCAACCGGCTCCCAGGAGACACTGCTGCTGTGGGTCCAGAGACTAAACTTTTAGTAGCAAAGCTTTAGCCCCAGAAGCTCCTGCACCCATCTGGGAGTGTCTGCACAGGCGGTCCCTTACCTCGTATTCCTCCTTGAACCCGTAGCCCTGGCCTCTCTTCATCTGGGTGATGTGCTGCAGCAGATCAGCCACGCGGATGGCCGGCTGGAACTGGTCCCGGGGATAGCTCATCTCCATGGGGTCGCAGGCCCGGTAGGGGTGGGTCTGGATGGTGAGGGTGGGCTGGGACAGCTCTCCGCGGCTGCCATCTGCTTCAAAGAGAAGAGGCAGAACAGACCATCACCTATGGGAGTTTTGCCCTCGGTCCTCTGTGCCTTCCCTAGCGGGACCTGAGGAGGCCAGAGGGAACTAACTCATGATTCAACTAATAAAGAAATCAGAGAAAGAAAAGAGACACATTGCTTCCTGGGCATGGCTGTGGGGTAGACTGAAAAATTAAATCAACAAACCAACGTGTGAACACAACAGCCCTTGGTTCGTTCCATCTCAAGGGTACATATCGATGGAGTAAAGACCAAGTCCAGGTTGGCTGCCATCACCGCCCTATCTCAGGCCTTCCTTGAGGCTCGTCAGGGTGGTGTTGGCCAATCCTGGCCAATATCAGAACCACCGAGAAGCCAGGCAGGCTAGATACTGGGAGCGCCCTTCTGTTTAGGAAGCAGGGTGCCTGCCTGCAAAGCCTCAGGGTCCTGGAGACCAGGGCCACATGTGTGTGTGCTTCGGATCCACCTGCCTGCATCCCCGGGACCCGGTGTCTCCACCAGTTTGTCTCTGTTGGGTGGTACCCTGGGAGGAAGGAACTGGAGCCCCTCTCCAGCTGTGGGCTCTACAGCAGTGACCACCTTCGGCCTCCTGTCCAGCTTCCCCACCACTGAACACTCTTGCTCCAGGAGGGTCACGGAACCCACCTTGCAGGTAGGGAGGCCAGAATTTCCTCCTTTAGTTCTGCCCTTCACCTCTCCCAGGCCTGGGTCCTAAGTCTCATTATCTCCTTCATATCATCCCTCCTTGATAAACGATCTCTATTTCCCCCTGGTAATAATCCTTACACCCACTGCGTTGCTCTAACTGTCCTCTGTTCTTTGGCCACCCTGGGAACCGATGCCTGCAGAGGTTGGATTTGAGATTCTCTGTTCCCCTTGGACAACCACCTTCTAGTCCTACCCCCTCACTGCTTGGCATTCCTTGCTGGTCTTTCCGGGCCGGTGTATCTTCCCCAGAACCTCTGAGGTTGGTCTGCCCAACCTTTTCCCAACGACATGGACAGTCTATGCCCTGGACCTTCTGTCTGTGGCATGTATGAGATGAGAAGTCAGATTTGATGTATCTCAGCCAGGTGTGTTCAGGCTCAGCCAGGCACCCCAGCAGAACCCCCCTAGGCCTATGCCATGCCTATTCCCTGGGTGGCTTAACATATATTCCTGATTTTCTGCAACTTGTCATTTCAAAAACCACGTTTCCTTTAGCTTAGTTGTGCCTCATGTCACAATAGCCCATCGGACATTGACTCTGCACGTGAAGGTGAGCTCTCCTTCTGTGTGGCAGCCTGAGAAACACTGTTCCCAGGAAGGAAAGAATTGCCAACATAAAGATCTAGTTTACAGCTTTCTGCACAAGGAAGAAGGGTCTAGGTGAGATGTTAGCACATAAAAATACCGATTACGTTTTCTCCGGGGATTTTAAATAACAGGGAACACATCCTCACTGGCATTGCTTAAACGCAGTGCTTGGCGAACGTGGGGGCTGCTTCCCTTCTCCATCCATCGCACTCTGTGACGGGCAGTTAGAATTACTGGGAACCCACTCTATGCCAGGGACTCAGGTTAGCACTGGCCGTGCATAGAGCAATGCAGATTCCACCCTCAAGTCTTGATGATCTAGTAGGAAAACAGACAAGAACAGGAGCCGGAGAAGCCAGGTGCTTTTAGGTAAGAGCAAGGAGGTGGACAGGGAGCGAAGGCGGTGGGCGGAAATGTGATGGGACGAAGCTGTGAGATGGTGTGAGGGCCCGTCTAGAAAGGCCGTGAATGTGCAAGCATCCCCAAGCCAGTGGGAAGCTGTCGGAGGGTTTGAAGAGGAATCCTTCTTTAAGGACTCCCACTACTTCGTGTAGGGGTCATGCTGTCATGTCAGCTGCCATGGACATGAGGCATCTTGGGAGCACCACTCCTGTGATGGACTGGGAGGGGGCGGGAGTTGGGGATGGAGAAGCAAGGAGTGCCTGTGCTTGCTCCTCTAGATTCTGCCCTGCTCCCAGGAGAGGCGGAGCTGGAGCCCGGTGAGTGTCTCCCACCTAAGCCCCCATCCCCAGATGCCTTCGGAGACCCATGGTCTCCCCAAGGACTTGAGGCACGGGCTGCCTGGGAGACCGGCTGCCAGGCAGAGACAGGGTTCTTGGCAATGGGCACCTGGCAATTTTTGTGAGATGCCAAATGTTTCCAAAACCAAAGAGCTACCAATATGAATATTTTCCCTAAACACACGGCTTGACAGACTGTAAACTGGGTGTCAGCAAAACCAACGCTGCAACAGAAAATAAATGCATTTGAAATTGAGCAACTTGTGTTGCTATAACATTTGTGATAATGTCAATGCTGGAGCTAATGATGCTATGAAGACTCGGAACCAAGGGATTTTCAAGGTTTATTAATTCAACTAGTTGGACTCTTTTTCCAATGCATCCGACCTCACCTATTCCCTTATTAACCTCCGATAATGCAGACGTGGTGCCTTTTATCACACCCCATTTCACCCGACGCACTATACTTAATTTTCCATCATTAGATTTAATGAAAACCCAATTTCACAACTCACTTCTCTCAGGAACCTACAAGTAATGCTACGTTTTTATCAGCCCCAATTAAAAAGCGTTATGATGTTCCTATTCGAGAGGGAGCCTTAAAACTAATGTGCGATTCTGCTGCTAATTCAAAAGGGTGCTGGAACTCATACACCGCGCGTAAAATGTAACTCAAACCAGCTGGCCCAGGGAGAGGGCATTTTTCATTTTTCATCTCACCAGACCCTTAATTCTCAGGCCATCTCAACTTCTCATTTATGGGTCCTGCATGTTTATTTATCACATAATAATATTTTGGGTTTCTTTTGCCCTTTTCTGCAGCTGTTGCCTTAGCCTGTGCATTCCCTTGCAGTAACTCTAGTCGCTTCCTGTGAGGGGCTGGTGGGGCGGGCAAAGGGATTTTGGTGACATGTCTGAGGTCCGGGGTCACCACCGTGCCCATTCCTCCTTTCTGTCTCTCTACCAGGTCCTCTTTCTTCTTCCTTGGGAGTCTAGCTTTGACCTTCTCTCTCTCTCTCTCTCTCTCTCTTTTTACACCTCTGCTACCAGCCACTATATATCTCCCTCTAGCTTCAGCCACATATTTCCAATTGCTTGCTAGGAACTGCCACTCCAACTGGTTAACAAATATTTACTGAATACCTACATTGTACAAAGCACGGTGTTAGAGCCCGTGTTCACATGGGGGTGGGGAGGTGGGGGGGGGGGTGCTCAGAGGGAGATAAGTGCACCGCAGCCCGAGCAGGAGGAAAGGAGAGATAAGTGTGCGTAAACAAGCCTAACAAAGGCGGGAAGGGACCCGCGTCCAGGAGACGGATGGGAGGATGATGTGCTGCAGAGTTAGGCACCATGGAAACGCTTCCACGCTTTAGGCATTCACCATCCCATCTCTGTGGGTGTGGCCATATCTACGTGCGACCTACATCACCTCTGTCCAGTGGACCTTTCCACGGTGCTGTGCGATATGGGAGCCTCTCACCACACGTGAAATATGGCTAATGTGACTGAGGGACGGATTTTTAAATTTTGTTTCATTTCAATTAATTTAAAGGTAAATTTCTACATGAGGCTACTGTGTCGGGCCGCACAGATCTAGAGGAAGAAAGAGACAGGGAGATGAGAGCCTTCTGGAGCTACATGGTGGGGCAAAGGGGTCCAGTGGAAACACATTGCAAGCCACATGTGTAACTGAAAATTTTCTTGTAGCAACATTAAATAAAGTAAAAAGGAGCAAGAATACATTTTGATTTAACCCAATACAACAAATTAATATTTCAACATATAGTCCGTATAAAATTATTGCCGATGTATTTTACATTCTTTATCCTCACATCCACAGGTGTTGTGCTCTCACTCAATGTAATGGCAGATGGAATGAATGAACTTCTCTGACCAAATGCAAAGGGTAGAACTTGTAAAACTAATAGTAAGTACAATGCCACCCACTGTGCCATGTTTTACGAGGTTGAAATGGACATGATATAATTGGCAACTGACACTCATATACTTTGTTATTTGAAGTAACAGCGGCCTGAAGGATAGATAAAAAGTGTTTTTCTTTTCCTATGTCCTTTCCGGGGCTCAGAATCAGAGGCTCTAACAACCAAATATGAGGGGTTGGCATCTCCAAGCCCTTTCTCCCCTCAGTCCCTTTATGGGGGTCTCTGGCGTGGCAACGACAATAGATGATGGATAAAGGCCTTTGTGCCCTGAATGCAGATTCAGTATCAGGAAGACTCTGTGATGGGAACACTCATGGGGACGGTGCCTTCAGGATTCACCTATTCCTTCCAATATATAAATCAACCCTCCTCTCTGTGGAGGGAGCATGCACTCCCGCCCTCCTCCTCCCCCGCCACACACAGCACCACATTGGAGGGAAGGATGGTGTCAGACAGGCCATAGGGGGGTGGGGCTGTGAACATCCCTATGCCTCCTGCCTCAGCCACAAGGAACGGATTCCAACCAGCGAGACAGCGAGGGCAACACTGAGCACCTGCCTGCTCGGTTTATGGTAAATGCGTCCTGGAGTGGTATCTCCTCCTCCTTTAGAGTTAAGTGAACAGAAACAAAACAGCATGGGTCTTAGAAAACCCCCATGTTACAAATAAGGAATAGGACACTCTTGGATGCTGAGAAAAAGACAATTTTCAAAAGAAAAAAGCAGTCAGTGTTGGCTGTCTACCCAACCACCATCTGGTACCTCCTTCCTTGCTGGCAGAGCCCTCAGATTAGTTTGGGAGCCTACATATTCCCATGTGACTGGGGAGGGTGACCCTCTTCCCAGATCTAGGGGCACATTCCACTGTACCTGCAGGTGTTCTTATCCTCTCTGTCAAATTTTCAATGAGACAGAAGCTCCTAGGAAAGGTGTCCTTACTTCTATTTTTTAAAAATATATTTTTTTATTGATTTCAGAGAGGAAGGGAGGAGTAGAGAGAGAAACATGAA